ATTTTATGGAAATTTTGTTTTTGATAAATTATCAAATTAAAAAATTGACAATTAATAAAATTATATCTTGAATATTGTCCTCTATATTACATTGGCCTTGTTCTAAAACTAATGAATTTTTTTTTTATAAAAACAATAATACTTATTGTGCTTGCCAATGAAATTTTTTAAAAAAATGGGACTTTAAAGATCATCACAATAAATTTGTTGTGCTTACTACTGCTAATTTTCCGTTCATTCTCATTACTCAAAACAATGCATTTCATTGGTCAATAGAACTTTTGTTAACAATAAATCTTTTGTTCTACAATATAATATCTAAAAAAATTACACATTTGGACTATTTGTTGCATATTTATTCTCTGYTGTTTAAATTTGTATTCCAAGTACCATTGAATTATACATAAAATTTTACAGACCTATAAATGGTATATTCAGTCATTATTTCCTTGTTTAATCGATCCTGTAAAATATCTTTCATTCAATATTCATTTAGATTCTACTAARWAGTTGTGATTGCAAATATAGTAAGAATTTAAAATGTGTCTTGTCAAAACTAAAATATTCTATATTACTTTAGTATAAGTATGTTATACTTGGAAGTATAACACTATACCAGGAGTGGCAAATTATTTGAATGCTATGTGCCAAAAATTACCTTTTTTTCTAGTGCGTCTTAATAAAAATATATTTATTTCATATATATAATATATATAATATATATATGAATATAATATAATATATTTTTGYGTGCCATTGCTGCACTTAACTATTGAGCCCATTACTTTGTGTATTTCTGTATTCAAGATTTGTTTTTATACAATATACAATTTATTAAAATCTTAAGCATATAATAATTCTAAATCAACAACAAACTWATTCTCTATAATTAAAAAAATAAGTGTCACCAAACATGGTTACCTTATCTATAATTAATTACACTATACTACCTAGTGTAAAAGAATGGTTTGAGTAGGTATCATTGGCTATGATCAAACGATCAAAATCTGTTAACTGGATCAAAAAAAAACTTGATTTTACATAAGTTAGAAATATTTTATAAAAAAAAACATACTAACGAATTTCATATTTACCAAGTATCTATCTCCAACATATATAACAAAAATCTTTTATTATTTTAATGACCTAATTTTCTACAAGACACTAATATATCAACTAGAATTTTCAATGCTCCATACAATTTCTAAAATTGTGTTATTAACTATTTAAAAGCATAAGAAATTTGTATTAGTTTTTATTAATTATTGTTGAAAATTGAATAAAGTCTTTTTAAGTTAAATTGACAAAAAAAAGTTAATTAACAATAGTTTTTTATGTACGCCTAAAATTAGAATTTTTAAATTAAAGTTAGAAATCCATAAAAATATATTTTTATATCTAAAGTTTTGAAAAATTAATACAAGGTCTTATGTTACATCTTAAAATTTTTCCTGAAAATCAGATTAACTTGTTGATTTTAATGAATGTTTGAAGTTGAATTTCTAGACCGTGTATTGGATTCATACTGTTAACTAAAAATTTTTTTTTATTTTGTTTTAAATCSAAAACAACACTAATATATAGAAATGTTTTTATCATTCTTTATAATATGTTAGCCGTAGCTTTGTTTGGGAAATTTGTTAATACAAATATAAAATCATGATTAAGCTTACTGTTTAAAAGGCACTATAGTGTAAGGTGATAGACAAAAAAAACCGATATTTTTTTATTTTTACCCACAGCATTGGAAGTAGATATGGATATTCAGATAGGTAAGACTGTGTAAGCAGTAGTCTGTGTGATATAATAAAATACAATTTATTTTTTAATATAATAGCCATACGGTTTTAATTTAAAAGTTATTATATTATTATAATTACATAATTATTACTAGCTATCGCCTATATTATCTTTGGAAAACAACATATTCCTTCGCAGTGGCGTAAATTGGGTTAAATTGTTAGGGTTGCAATCAGTTTCCCGGTTAGACACACTTTTTGGGGGCTAAGCCCCTAATACCCTCCTACAAAGTTTTATATTGTTCTAAATATAATATTATAAGTAAAAAGTACACAATCTCTACAAAATTATTTTAACCTTAAACATATATAGTATCTATTGGTGACTGGTATGTATATGAATATACAATATAAATAGGGTATATTATAATTAATTACCRTCAATAGAACATGCATAATTTTCTTAAACAATATACGAAGTATATTACAGTAAATACAACAGTTTTTTTTWAATCTAGACTCTAATAATTAATTGTATCAAACTTGTTCAATAATAATATTATATTACCTGAMGTCCTGATAAATTAATTTACAGATTAAATATAAATTGTTTTATTTGTCAAAATTGTAGTTTTAATACAATGTAAATCAGTAATATATTTTAACCGCTACTTTAAACTTAATACATCATACAAATCAGAAGTTATAAAATATGAATTTAAAGTAAAAATAGATGCTTACATATTCGATTCGATATTTTTACAAGAAATGTGTCTATTTTAGCAAGCTGTTGAAACACTTTTAATTTTGCATCATTCGCGGAATAAGAAATAAATACAAGTGTCAAAAAATAAATGAATATGTAAAAAAACAAATAATTTTAATTTTAATCTATAAACATAAAATAGTGAAACACGTTTTCACTATTAATATTCAGCTACCATTGAGATTCAACTCTGTCGATCACAATAAATACACATTGGTAGGTATATTAATAGAAAATAGTAAAAAACAAAACTATAAGAAAATGTGGAAAGTATAATATAATATATAATAATAATTCCAGTGATTCAAAACCAAAAAAAAAAATTTGTTCTCAAAATAGAAATTAGTTAATTAATTGAATAATTATTGATATTTTAATTTTTTGAAAACTGAAATCGTGATTTTCGGGGTCACAATAAGACACTCTTGCAACTCTATAATATTTTCAAAGGTCGCAAATGCAACCCCGTGCGACCCCCAGTTTACGCCACTGTTCCTTCATCGGAACTTGATTGCAAATGCACCGATGCACTTGTGTAATAAAAGTCAGCCACATTCTACCAAGTCCAGAAGTATGAGATTTATAGCTGGCAACAAAATTTTGGAGAAAAAAAAAAACAATAAATTGCTAAACTTTTGTGAATGTATCACTAAATTTTCAAGCTTTTTAACCAGTTAAACATTTAATTTTTTACTATTGATGTCCGTCGAAGAAAAACTAAACTTTGCCAATTTTATGGGAAAAGTAGTGCTCATTTCTCACAGGTATTATACATATTAATATTGTTTAACATTTTCTAAAAAAAATCAATTGTTCTTTTACTGTCTGTCTTAGGCTGGTGCATATCGATAATAATAATTAGTGAATATATAACAAAAAATATTAATTTTAATGTACCGACGAGGTAATTAATTATTATTGTTATTTTGGCAGTCCAATATTATTAATTTAACGAAAAATGTGCGATGCGCATTCAATCTATCGCGCTAATATTCTGACGATTTACCAACTATCTTTTCGAATATATTTTTAACTATATTTTTCAGATCAATAAAATGTCCTTACAGTTTTCCCTCATGTTTTAAGTGTTATATAAATGTATTTTCCATAATATTTTACGTATTTATTGTTCGTATATCTAAAACAATTTTTGTATATTTTCACTACTTAAGCTCCTATGACTCCCACAAGCCCTAATTATAATATTGTATTATCAATAATATAGTCTTGTTGCAACGATAGATTTATCGTTTATTCATTGAATTTATATTATTAATCTGTTGTTTGTTCTTGTACGCAGGATTTTAGGTCGGTTAGGGTTTTACGCGAGTAAATAATTTTAATCATAATAAAAAATTAAAATAATTTGCCAACACTTTTTATATAATTAGTCATAATAAATTAACAATTTCATTTAAAWCTATATCTAAAATTACCAACGGTCGACTCTGTGTATTGAAAATTTGAAATGGTGATAAATAAGATTTTTTTGTAAAATGAAAAAATTTCAGGGGGGGCCAGAATTTTACCCCTGGTGATACTTGCATGTGTTGTCTCCGTCTTACAAGTGCGTAACATAACACATTTTACGGTCAGCTGCTCACGTTTAACTCCGATAGTTTAAAACTTGGAAGTTAATCGACCTCTTAGAAAAATTAATGGTTACATTTTTATCTTGGGCTTCTTATTATATTTTAATTTCAATGCAAGTTATGAGTATTTTAAAATATTTTAAAATATTGTAAATTGTTTTTATACATCTTAAAATACCTACTCACAATTCACTTTAAAATTAAAATACAATAAAAAGCCTACAATAAGCCCTTGATAATAATGTTACCTTTAGTCTTTATAAGAGGTCAATTCACTCTAAATTTTAAACTATCGGAGTTAAATGTGTTCAGCTGAGCGCTAAATGTGTCATGTTACGCACTTGTAAGATGGAGACAACACATGCAGGTATCACAGTCCTCTTAAGTGTTTCTAATAAGCAATATAAAGCCAAGACGTGTAAGTGTTTAGGAACGGATTTAAATGATTAATAAATTATGTAACGTGTTTGACTAATAATTAAATATTGTTTATTACTGTCATTCATCATATAGTTCCCAAACAATAAACTATAAGCATTTTATTATAATCAGTCATTGCTATTACTTACTATGCTCTTTTGTCATATTTTAATTTATGTCAATTAATATACACACTGAGTATAATAATTAAGTAGTGTATTTATGTGACATTGAATTTTATCAACAATTAATGAGTGAGCAGACTATATTTAATTACTAGGATAAATGATTCATAATATGATCTATGATGAAGAAAGTATAATAACAGCCAAATAATAATTAGATTTTTTTAATTAAGTAATAAGTATAGACATATTGTACAAATATATATCTAAAAATAACAGCGTGCGTACGGTAAAAAATAATTAAAAATCACAATCCAACGGGGGAGGAAAAAAAATACAAGTTTATAACAAAGTTTATTACAGTAATAATTAATAACCATATTAAAATAATAATTGATAAATGTTTCGAGCTCAACTATAAAAATGTCATTATTCCAGAGCATTTTTGTATGACATGGCCAAAGACACTGCAGCAGCCAACAAAGACGATCGTTGGCTCACACCGGTCATTACTTCTTGCCACTCAGATGGATGTACCTAAAACGTTTATATGTGACATGAAAACACAGTAATTCTTCGCAGTAGTCTCTGTCTGGTTAGGGTGGTTTTACTTTTAAGTTGCTGGCCATGAAATGTGCGACTGGTATACTGAATCCGGTTGAGATGTGTTCATAATCTTTGGGTGTATCGTCACTAATCAATCCAACAATTGCTGCTGGTACAGGCACACTTTGGGTGTAGACTTCTAAATCTATATTTCGTTCCATGTCATTAAGTTTCAAAAGACCAAATTCATACCATCTAATTGGGAAAAAAWATAACTTAATAATTTTGAATTGACCGTAATTGAATTGTAACACTTTGGACCTTTGGAGAAAGAGWTTTGTAACTCATTCAAACATATTTCCCGCTAAACATTATATGTGGTAAAATAAATGGTCCATAAGTTGTTTGTCATGTTTTTTTAGCAAAATTCAACTTACTTGGATTCTATTGGTTCTACAATAAATCTTTCAAAGGAGACGACAGGACCTTTTACCACATGTAATCTAACAGAATCAATGCAATATTTTGTGGCTTTGGATGCAGCAGAAAATCCGACAAGCTGTGCGGCAAATGGTTGATCTGGTGCTTCAAGTCCTCTAAAATAGATACCACATAATGTCTTATGAAATAAACTACAAAAATGTAATTAAGTTCATATAAAAGTTGGCTACTTGACGACTGCTTTTCCAAAAACTTTTTGAAATCCTTCTCTTACTGCACTGACGACTATTTCTTTTTCAGTAGCAACAACAATATCGGTGTTATCAAATGTATTGGCTAACAAAAATAACAGATATAAATACAAATTGAATAATACAAGATTTAACAAAACAATTGAATATTAACGACTGTTTAATTATTTACGATTTAATGTATCTTTCATTTGTGGGTCTAATGTGGTGAGTACTGCGTCCACTGAATTCTTTGCTTTTTCTGCAACAATTGAAAAAATACTAGAACTACTGCCCTTCATCCAGTTAAACAAATCAGCTTTGCTCGATGACTGATCACTTTTAGCTGCTTTATCAGTGACTGCTTCATTGGAAGGACTCATGGGTAATTCCATATTTTCTTCATTTTTACTAGTTATTACAGGCCTGTGAACAAATAAAATATAAGTCACATAATATTTAGATCACCATGACGTGGAAATTCAGGTGGACTTACGAAAACATTGGAGTGTGAAAGTTTTGACTAGTCACGTCTGTCGGGTTCAACACAGGGTTAGACTGGACAGGTCTGGGCTCTGTTGGAAAAATGCAATACGATGACTATTCAGATCAACCGAAATAACTGTGATAAAGAGAATGGAAAAATTTAAAAACTAAAGATCACGCATCGTTACCATTCAGAGCATCTGTAACAAAACTAGGCAACATCGTTGGTGGTGGTAGCTTCGAAAGGAGTTGATCGGCTTTCGACATTTTTCTCGTAGGATCTGTAGGGACAGAAAAATAAAAAATGTTACAATAGGTGCAAAATCTAAAACAAACTGTAATATTGGGCATGAGCAAACGATTTAGGATCAATTATGACGTTATACTGATTATGTAGACATTTTCAGAGTCGTCCGAATCGCCACACAGCCAGTGCGACAAAATATCGTTACAACGATCTGACGTAACGATACTCCATCGTTTTAATAATTATTGTTATTGTATTGATCACGGTCGTCATCGCGTTGACACTCACTCGTTGTCGATCCGTCCATGTCGACGAGTGCGGTACCCAAAACGTTTATCGTCGGTGAGAAAGTGATGATCAACAACTATCAACGTTGGTAAATAGGATATTATGACGAGCACAATATTCTCCTTTATCGTAATTACCTGCCGACCACGACTAGTACGCTGTCGTTCGGATTCTACAAAACGGCGACGACGCACAAATCCACAACGCCACTGATGACTATGATTGTGCACACGTAAACTGCACAAACTCGCAACAACGACGTCGGTCGGGATTGGCACTACAACCGCTGAACCGCACTGAACTACTAATTCAGTACTGAAGTTAAGTGGTAAATAGTAATAGTACCTATTCGCTATTTCACTATCRCTGTATCRGCTATCATTATCAATAATTGTACGACTTTGCTGTGTCTGTGTTGTAAAATAATTATTACCTATATAGAATTTTTACATAGACGATATAATATTATCACAGATAATAATAATWATTATTATTATTATTTACAACTGATGGGATCAGTTCTGCCCCGTGATAAGATATCCAAGATGATAACCAGGAACCGCATCGTAGATAATATTATACCACGGTGTGATACTTTATACCACAGACATACAGTGTGATTTTTTAATCGTGYTCACCCTCACTTTTCCCTTAATAGTCTGTAGATATCATATTCAAATTCTACTATTTTAGGAAACAGTCAGACCATTTTTTACATAAATTCCTGTACTAATTGAGGAGTATTCCGAATTCCCGAGACGATACCAACTTCTGTTATTCAAATGAGAACCCTCTTTTTACTGAAAATTATTTAGCGGATATTTTTTTTGTAAACTTTGATGTATCTAAATCAAAATTCTAATGAATAGTTTCTGAGTCAATAAAATGTCTGTTTATACCAAGGATAATAATCATTAAAAGTGGTTTTATAAAAATAAAAACTATAATATGTAATGATAAACATAGTATTAATTATACTTGGATTATTTTTATAAATTATTTATATTGATAAATTAATATTAATTGCTAAACTTTTCAAATTGTCTAATCACTATCTACCTTACCCATCATCATAGACATATTATGTATAAAACACAAAGTTACATACCTACTCAATAACTACTAGCATAAATTTTGATTTAGATACATGAAAATGCTCAAAAGAAAAAATCTGCTTCAATAAAAAATAAAAAAGGAGGTTTCTATTTGAAAAACTGAAGTTTGTATTGTCGCAGGATCATCCTTTAGTAGTAAAAAAATGTAATGACCTTCAAGTGTGTTTAAAATTTTAATGTATGCATAAATAAACCATAAAAATAGAACGTGTATACTTAAAAAATCATCCTGTATTTATATATATATATATAT